CATAGTTATACTATTCTCTCAAAGTACCATATACAGTAGTAGCTGTGGAAACTGCATCACCTATGATACAGATCAAAAAGTGTTAAACAGATGTGCAAAGTAGCATGTAGTATGATCATTGTAATGATCAGAGCTTAAATATGTAATATTTGTAATGATTAACATATATAGTATAGAGAAGAAACCAAGAAGTGCAATTTATTACATATAATGCTACATTAAACTTGAGTAATTGTTATTTTGCATTAAAGCTATATCATTTCTATATATATATAATTCTATCCTATGGACACTAAGAGGGCCTGTTTTTCTGGCCCATTATAAAGTTGGTCAGGTCCACAATGGAGTAGCCATGTAGTGATGGATAGGGCCTAACAGGACAGACTACTCCCAAGAAACTTTTGGGGTTTTTCAAACTGCCCAGATTCAATTCTGGTTTCCCAGAATTGACTTTAGAACCCCATTAGCATAGCATTCTGAGTCCCCAGAATGGACTCATGCCTTAATCATCTGAACCATCTGGTCACCCACCAATATTATTAATGAGCATTGTCATAAGAACTTTCTGTTTACAATTACAAAAGCAAAAAAAAAAAAATACTTGGAAAAATAATATGAACAGTTAGTTCTTGTTGAATGGGATACTAATATTTTGTAGGTTCATCTCAAGCTTTTTATAAGAGCTTTGCAGCCACTTTGGCAAAGAGTGGATGAGATTATTCAAGTATTTTATACCAAGTTCATGATATCAAACTTTTCTAATATTCTCATGCAATTGCTGTTTATTTTCAGGTCTTATTTTTGCAATTTTTGTGTCTATCAGGACTATTATTTGGCCAGTTTAGGCCTCTTATAGAAACTTTTTACCTAAACAATAATTTGTCAGTTTAAACGACAATAATGCTGACAAATCATGGAGAAAGAACACATTATACTTTACTCACCATTTGGCATGATGATATGGAGAGTGTCATTTTGAAAGATAGGTTTTTGTGACAAAATTATTCCTTTATTATTGCAATTAGCTTGGCAGAGGTCTTTTTGTAGCAGCACTTTGTATTCATGAAAATGTTTATAAAAGTGCAATCTATGAGCATGTTTACTGGATGTGTATCCCCATAACATTTGACTCACTAGAAACATTACTGCCTACATCATGTAATCTCTGTTACAATCCTTTTCTTTTCTATGCTTAGCAGAGTTTCCATAGATGTGTGCAAATTAAGTTTGAATTTATTTGACAAAACAGAATCCCACATGTCAGTGCTGTTTTGACCAGATAAGCTGCTCCATTCTGTGTATTTTATTTATCAATAATGTCTTTTTACATGGATGTTAGCTTTTAAATCCACATTGCAGAGACAGTGTTTTACAGTTCATGCACTTGCTTTTATATCTATATGCTTTCCATTTTAATTTGAGAGAACAAGCAGTACATTCTCACAGGCTGAGATGTTGAAGCATTTTAGCCTGTGAGAATGTATTGCTTGTTCTTTCAAAATGATTCTTAAATTTAAAAAATAAGCAAATTTTTAAAATAATATTTATGGCTTTTATAATTTTCATGACGTAGATATTGTTTATATATTTATATATGTATATATAAATTATAAATACTGTAATTAACATAATTGAGAATATCTACAAGTTGATATTTTTAGCAATATTTTCAGTGTTAATAAAAGAAAGTAGTAAAAAAATTNTATATACTTAAAAATTTTAAATTCTAATGTCTTACTGTATAAAAGTAATATAAATTTATAATAAAATATTTTGTTTTCTCTGTCTTTACTTTTATTTGGATTCAAAGGTATTATATAAAGTAATAATAATTATTTAAAATTATGATTTACCAAAATATATTAATATTATAGTTTATTATTTCATTACAGATCAGTTTAGTGTTTGAATATTTTTAGTTATGTTACTATAATGATTAATTACTTCAATACTACTAACACCCAAAATACAGCAGAATCATTTATTCACTAAATATTGTACAGTCCTGTGTGCAATACTGATTAAGCATGGTGTTTATTTCAGTAAAGATCAAAACTAATCAAATTATTAATTCATCTCTAATAATTTGAAAACAATACTTTTTACAATAATTTACATGATACCAAAATAATAATTGAATAAATTTGAAATAATGTAAAATGTAAAAATTAATTATTATTATTATATGGAAAGAAAAACTACAGATTAATAAATTTATACAAGAAATGAATAACAACCCCTATACTCTCACTATTAAATTAGATCAAGCTAGTAGCACAGAAGTACATTTCCTATATCTCAAAATCAACATGAAAAATAACTGGGACTATACAAAAGTTTATTATAAACCAACATACAACACCAATTATTTATACCAGAAAGCTCCAATGACCCTTTATAGATTGCAGCTTTTAGAGCCTTAACCAAAAGGGTTTTTACTCACTGTACAAAGTATTCTGACACAATCAAAGAGCTAAAACACCTTGAATGAATAACCACAACATACTGTTACTGCAAGATAAGCCATATCGTTCTAGAATATAACTACAATATGCTATCATTGTATAATTAAATAGAGAATCTAAAAGATACTAAATTAACTTTCAGGCACAATCCTATCATCTACAACATCCTTGGGAATGGAAAAGATAAGACTAATAAGTTCCTTTGGAAGATGACTGATTTGGTTACAAACTTGAATATATCTGTTCCACCACAAAGGTCAATCAAAATAAGTCTAGATGAACACAAACATGATAGTGATAAAAAAGAAACAAAACACTGTCCTACTGTGTATGCAATGGATAATGAGGTACAGCAATCTTTGACAAGGCTACCATCATCAAGAGATCAAAACGCCCTGACTCCATCAAGATACTAGAAGTATTAGAAATATTTAAATCTGACAAAAGGGCACTGCATAAATTTTAAAGACAAAAACAACTGTTATATGCATGGCAATCTTTATATGATCACATGACCAAATATGATGTAACATCATTACATGGGGACAGTATAACAAAAAGTCCTCAGTTATAGTTATATAGTCTTCAAATGTTTCCTTTTTTACTTTTATATGTTTGGTACCACTATTAATTTTTATTTTTTAAATTAATAGGAAACATTAATTTTTATTGCTCCATACATTTGACTTTATACTTGCACTTGTTGTAGTTTCCAAGCATATAGATCTGTTCTGTTTATTATCTGATAATTTTAAATGAAATTTCTTAAATTTTGCTCTGTTTAAAATTAAATTTGTGATAAAATATATCATTTGGGACAAGTCTATGCAAAATTTATCCATTAATTTTTCTAATTTAGATGAAAAATTTTATTTTTTTTATGCACCTTAATACATAATTGTTACAATGATATTCTCAGTTTTTATTTTTTTTGTTCTGTTTCTGAAGCTACTTAAAATATTTGGTACTATAAAATTGGAATGTGGATTTAAGAGCTAAACAGGTATGTAATTATGTATTCAAATGTTGCTATATTTTTCTAATGTATATTATAAAAATTAAAATTCGTGTGCCCTTATAAGCAAATTTAAAACTATAAATATGAAATTTGTACAAATTGTATTGGGAATATAAATAAACTTTTAAAAGTGATTTAAAGCGTTTATTTTTAATTTGATATCCATCAATAAAATGTAAATGTTTTTCAAAATAACATAATTTTCAAAATGTTTCAATTACTGTAGTTTCAGTTTCTGTAATTTAGAAAATTTAACATTACAGATTATTCACTAGAATTTATATTGTCTAATTTATTTTTGCTGATTCTTTTAGTGAAATTCTTCAATCTTATAACAAATTTCAATCATTGTTTATTTTTCTATCTGAAATTTTAATTTTTCATCCAATCTTGGACATTTCTAAACTGAATTTCACTGAATGTTAAACCTGAATGTTAGTATGTCCCTAGTTTGATACTTTAAAGATTTTTCATCGTTTTATATATGAAATAAAAGCCTAAAGACATTTTTCATTTGATTTATATATAAAATAATTGAAATTGGATCCATTGGGTTTTATTATTTTACATTTTAAATATTCTTTTGGATGAAATCTTCTACTAAATCTTTATATAGGCAATAAATGCTTCATGAAAGTATTACTTTCAGGTTTAGTTATTTAAGTATATGGAAAATCAATATTGAATCAAGTTCTTTAATTGCCAAAACAGTGCTAAAAATGACTAAAATGTTTGGTTTAAAATACTCTTATTCTTTATTTAGTTATTTTTATGTACTGTATATGCCAAGTTTTTCCTCAAATTCTCCTGCCCTATCGTCACTTAAGAAAATCTTATTATATATATATATATGTTACTGTGAAAGTGGATATCATCAGTGGATGTATTGTATACCTTGAATCTGTACTACAGCATTCACAAGATCTCAATTTTCTGCTTATCCCTGAATGTGAAGCTCTCAGACAAAACTCTTACTTTAAGGACAATTGCATCTACAATTCTTTTTAAAATGCCAGGCCATGAAGTGTAAATACAAGAAGAATGGCACTTCTAAACTCTTCGGCTTGTTGCAATAAATAACGTTAATTATAAAGTTTTTTTGTTTTATTTTAAACTAGAAACAAACACTAGAAAGAGTATACAATCACTAGTGAATGTGGATTTATTTAAAATGGATTGTTCCACATTCACTAATTACTTTAGATTACATTCACTGTACAATCCACTTTCAGCGTAACAGAAAATTTAGTGAGGAATTGGCTTAAACGTATGAAAAAAACTAGATACATGAATTAAATACTTGGTGTGCTCTTTCATTATTAATTTCTTCTATTAGTGAGAGAGTAGGATAAGCAATTTTTATTATATTTAGCTCGTAATTTGGCATGTGATATTCTGATTTATTTACAAAAGATTTAAGAATTTCAGCCTGGATGAATTTCCAATTTTTGTAACGTTAACTTCCTAAATTACCATTTCATTTTTTTAAAAATAATTAAAACTTTGATGCGTTTGAAATTAATTTAAATTATTTATTGTGCTTTTAACGCTATACATTTGAGACTTGTCTCACGTTAATTAGTGCTGTCTTTCGCATAAAATTTCTCTTTTTTTGCTGATAATTGAATGTACACATATACACAGAACTCGATACACTCGACATATCAAAAGGCACATTCTACATTATACAATAATGTTAATCACAAAATATTTTCTATACAAGAATTTTTTTCTTCTTTTATAGATGGACCGATAAGGGAATTTATATTAAAGCAATATCGCATGTCCAAGTGCTTCACGTTTATCAAACGAAATTAAACAAAATATAATTTTCATACGGTTACGACGGATAAAACAAAAATATGGAAGATCTGTTTGTTTTTTTTATCTATGTACAACAATATTTTAAATCAATTTTTAAGGAGGATTTACCTCTGCTATTTATATATTTGTAAAGAAATCGATACTTTCGATTTTCGAATTTATTTTTCCTAATTTACAGAGTAATTTCCAACAGAAACTAGGAAATTCGCATGTTGACCCAACGAAATTGTCTTTTTTTCAGAATTTCTAGTATGCAATTCCGTTTGTTTTGATAAATATTAGCGAATTTTTAAGTTAAGATAGCGAAGATATTTGCAACGAGATAATTTACCTTTTTTCCGTGGAGTGATGATGCAGATCTTCCAAAAATCATAAAGGGACAACTCGACGTATACGTGGATTATCGCACAAATAAATATGATACGAACGATATAATTGGATAATAAAATATATAAATGAGCATTCGAAACACGAATATCTTCTATTGACTAGTAACTAAAACACTTTTTTCCCAAAATATCGATAACATGATGCGTGATAATCACAAACAAAAGCTTCATCATCGTCATTAACAACAAGCGTAGCTAAGCATCAATATTTCGAGATATTTACTTTGAATTTTTTTGTGTTTTTACTTATTTATTTATTTAATTTTTAACGTAATAATCGAGTAATTAAGGCAATCACGAATTCGATTTCTCTTTTTCTCTTTCCCCTCTACAAATTCTTTCATAAAAATCACAATCTCTCACGGATATTTTGTATTGCTATGTTTATAAACTAGCACCTCGATACGAAACAAATATCTAATTTTTTTTGTAACTGTATATTTTTTTTAATTTTTACAAAAAATTTCATGAAAAAATCTGTAGTTTCTTGCAACGTAGCGGATTTTTTTCTTTAAAGTGTTCTGTAACATTAATTGCTGCTCGGTTTGTATACTAAATATTATCTCTCGATCTTGCGGGGGTTAGAAAATGTCACAGGCTATATAACAAATACATTTTATAAGGAATTTTTGCCAGGAACTTCCTTAAAACTATTGTTAATTTCTCTTTAGAAATCCTCCATTATTTTCAGTACACGACAAGTTTGGTACCCGGTTTATTCTTTTGGTTATTCGATGCTCGAAAATATTGATATATTTTATTACTATTATTTTTTTTAAGTACGACTCGAGAAGTTATAGAGCGAAGTGATAGAAGTTTCCATTGATATGTTAGGGACTTGGTCCAGCGGAGATTACATGAGTGCATCTTTAGTTTCCGGCAACTTAACGGAACAAATGCTGCCTAGCAATATAACTGCAGCGGAAGTAAGGATGGGTACTGCTTTACTCGTTCCGATGAAGCTGCCAAAGGTCAAATTTCCCAAAACGGCGGCCAAGCGACTGATGGCACTCAAGAAACCGTATCCTGTACTCCTGCAAAGAAAATCGATAGAGTTAGAATTTCCTCTTCCTCCGGGCGCATGTTTCTTTTTTACAATGGGCAATTTTAGAAACCTCAAAGTGGCCGGGTATACTTCCGTGGTGATGACGTCGACCGCATTCCACCCCGATATGGATATGAAATTGAAGACAGCTTGGAAGGAGACCACTGCGCTCTTCGAGTCCAAAAACCAGATGAAGAAAGCGCTGGTTCCCGCTAAGAATAGGGAAGTTCCTGGAAAATAATGAAGGAAATGATTATTTATATTTTTTAAATTTATTTAATTTAAAATATATGCTCTCCACCTCAAATTAGTAGTCTCTTGCCCCTGTACATCATACTTTTCCTGATAACTACAAAGTCATGTATGTAACTCCATTCAGGGAAAATTTTTGAATTGAATTAACGTGACTTCCGTTCTAGATCGGGCGTTTGTGTATAGTTAATCAAAGCCTCCTGCCCTTAGTCTTTCCATTTGTGGTCCCAAATTTTATATATCTAACACCGTTCTCGGGATTAAGGAAGGACAGAGAGACAGAATTTGTAGGTCTACAATTATTTTTCAAATTGAAGCCCCATAAGATATGAAAAGTTCATTCTTCTATTTAATTTCTCTATCATTTTATTAGGATTTCTGCTGGAAGATTTATATAAGATCGTTGCGTGCAGTCCACGCAACAGGCAAATTGATTTGGACTAATGCATGGGCAAAAAAGTCACATAATTGTATCTAATCTCTAGAGTCCGTGTTTATTACACCGAAAATACAAATAATTGGAAATATTCTACTTTATCTATAAAATATAAGTGAGAAACACGGGGTTTATATAATGGAAGTTATGCAACACTTTCTTCCTCTACAAATTTCATTCCTAAATCTCTTTGTAAGTATAGGATGTAATCATTACGTAGCAATTATAGAACTTTCCTAATTTTTAAAAGAATTTCCACAAATTTTATAAATGTTTTGAACTAATGTTGTCATATATAATAATAATAATAATACGGTAGACAATTCATCATAGTGAAGTATTTCTTTCCACTCCTTAATTAATTTGAATCGCTGACTTAATTTTATTTATTATACATACAAAATAACAATTGTACAGATATTTTCATTCGCGTGATTAAATATTATCTAGAATTTCGAGAATTTCATCGTTAGAAGACGAAACGAAATATCTGAAGATGTGGAGTGGAAGCGATTTTAATGAGGAGAAACTACCGGAAGCGATTCAGATAATTGTAATTATTTAATTATAACGAATTAAATCTTCGAAGTTTTATCATTATAACTTCACCGTATTTTAATTATTAATTTATTAAAAAAACTTTAAGTATTTTCATTAAAAATTAACGTTATAAACAAGCATTGACGTAGCAGTGATGCTGCAGGAATTAGAATATTTATTTTTGAACAAATTATAGGACCTCGCTCTATTCAATATGTATAGGAGGGATGCAGGGATCCTCGTGTCTATTTAGCACGTGCGAAATTTCTTCCCTATTAAATTAAGTCCCTACATAATCCCTAATTACTTTGTAGAAACTTTGTCTTAAAGAGAGTTCAAATTTCAAACTGGAAAATCAAATTAGAATTCATAATATTTATTTTAATGATCTAATATCGAGTTGAATAAATAGAAAATTTGGAAAGACGTCTTTCCAAATTAAGTTTTAATAGTTGCATTGGACCAATTAGAACAGCCTTTGGCTAAAATGTATAGATAAACACTGTGAATCTCTCTCTAGAAATCTGTGTTTGTCCACGATTATTAAACAAGATAAATGGATTGTGGAAGTTTAAACTTGTAAAATTGTAAAATAGATTTAACAGAAGAGCCAAGAGCAGATTTCTTTCTTATTCTGATGCGTATAAAGTATATTTTTTTCAATGGAATGAAGTTTAAGATGACGTGGATTCAATCAAGAATATAAACTTTCCTGTAGAATTTAATGAATCAAACTGGCTCGAGTAGTTTTTATTTTAATTTTATTCACCATTGCTTAGTTACTATTAATAATAATACGTTTTACGGTGTCTTCATTTTATTTTTTACGCAATAACCTAATTAACCATTCTAATTTATGATTGAAGTAGTTGATTATAATGAGATCTCTCTGCTCCAAGTACTAATTTTCTACTTTTTTCATAAAATAATTCGATGGGATTAATCTCTGCGATTTTTTCAAATAAAATAATTAGAGAATTGTTCTTAAATATTAGAAAATTTCCAGTTAAATTTGTGGGTATATCTTCAAACTTCAGTAATTTATTCAAGTAAATCATTATCCTACATTTTCTTAGTTTTGCTCCGTAAGTAACCACGAATAAAAGAATAATTTATGAAGTGCATAAGCAATTTAAGAAGTTCGCGAATAACATTCTCCCCATTTAGCCATTTGTTTTTTAATATTCGAATGCAATGCAGATTATAAGATTTAAGTTTTTATTTATATAAACAAACTAAGAAAATAATAAAACAACGAAATTGCATTTTAAATATAATAATTCGAAGGAATTTTATATTTTTATAGCAGAAAAAATATATAAAAATTTGAAAATTCGAAGGTTTATCTTGTATATTTTAGGCTGGAACAACGTGACGCGTTCTATTCTACAGCAGAAAATCTATTCTTTCTTCCGCATCCCTGGAGGGAGTGAGTTTTTCTTATAATATTTTTGACACGTTCTAGTCGATAGTCCAGGAGTTTATACTCAAAAAGACATTTCTAAATTTAATTTCTGATATTTTGAGTTGTAATGTAAATAATCCTTTATAGGAAAAATATTAAAAACATTTTTCTTAAGGAAAAAAAATANTTTGGGTACCACTGATATAGAAGATAGATATTACCAATGAGAAACTTTTTCAACAACTGTGATATGCATAGCCATTTAGTTAAGCAGTAATCTGCATAATATTTAAATGACAGTATTATATAAAGTTTTATTATTGATGATGATGACGACAATTGGAAAAATTTAGAAAAAAGATATTTTTAATGTGATTTTTTTTATTTTTTTTCCAGATAGTTGGGATTGTATAGCAACTTGCTTCTTTATGGACACTGCAAATAATATTGTTTCTTATATTGAAACAATCTGGAATATTTTGAAACCAGGTGGATATTGGATAAATCTTGGTCCTCTTTTATATCATTTTGCCGATATACCAAATGAATTTTCTATCGAACCTAGCTATGAAGAAGTGAAAAAAATTATTTTGTCTTTTGGATTTCAAATGCTAGTAAGCTATTTAAAATAATTATTTTGATGTATAAATTCTCTATAATTAAATTTTCTCTCTTCCAATAACTGAAAATCAGATATGATATTTTACATAATGTAGTTTGAGGGAAAAAAATAATTTAAAGTGGTATATGGAAAATTATTTAAACATGTAATATAGGAAATTATAACAGAAAAATGAAATTTATGGGCATATCAAAAATATAATGTTATGTGAAAGTTAAATTTTTCTTTTTAAGTTCTAAAATCAAGCATCACACAATAAATAATAATTGAAATCTGGTTTAATATTATTAGTAATATTATTCTTAGTTTTATTATTAAATTAATTTCCTCAAGTTCATCAGATTATAGAAGTTCATAGATTATCTTGCATTTTTCACCATCTTCCACACACTGATTAAGAACTGCAGAATCTCTTTTGGTGAATCATTTTTAAAATTTACAAACTCTCAATTTGCTAAATGAGGATTTGAAAATATGGCTTATAACATGAGAGCATAATATTATTAAAAATATATTGATTTTTGAAATGTTATATTTATAGTATAACATAGTTATACTATTNCAATAAATAATAATTGAAATTTGGTTTAATATTATTAGTAATATTATTCTTAGTTTTATTATTAAATTAATTTCCTCAAGTTCATCAGATTATAGGAGTTCATAGATTATCTTGCATTTTTCACCATCTTTCACATACTGATTAAGGACTGCAGAATCTCTTTTGGTGAATCATTTTTAAAATTTACAAACTCTCAATTTGCTAAATGAGGATTTGAAAATATGGCTTATAACATGAGAGCGTAATATTATTAAAAATATATTGATTTTTGAAATGTTATATTTATAGTATAACATAGTTATACTATTCTCTCAAAGTACCATATACAGTAGTAGCTGTGGAAACTGCATCACCTATGATACAGATCAAAAAGTGTTAAACAGATGTGCAAAGTAGCATGTGGTATGATCATTGTAATGATCAGAGCTTAAATATGTAATATTTGTAATGATTAACATATATAGTATAGAGAAGAAACCAAGAAGTGCAATTTATTACATATAATGCTACATTAAACTTGAGTAATTGTTATTTTGCATTAAAGCTATATCATTTCTATATATATATATATATAATTCTATCCTATGGACACTAAGAGGGCCTGTTTTTCTGGCCCATTATAAAGTTGGTCAGGTCCACAATGGAGTAGCCAGGTAGTGATGGATAGGGCCTAACAGGACAGACTACTCCCAAGAAACTTTTGGGGTTTTTCAAACTGCCCAGATTCAATTCTGGTTTCCCAGAATTGAATCTGGGCAGTCTGGACTTTAGAACCCCATTAGCATAGCATTCTGAGTCCCCAGAATGGACTCATGCCTTAATCATCTGAACCATCTGGTCACCCACCAATATTATTAATGAGCATTGTCATAAGAACTTTCTGTTCACAATTACAAAAGCAAAAAAAAAAAAATACTTGGAAAAATAATATGAACAGTTAGTTCTTGTTGAATGGGATACTAATATTTTGTAGGTTCATCTCAAGCTTTTTATAAGAGCTTTGCAGCCACTTTGGCAAAGAGTGGATGAGATTATTCAAGTATTTTATACCAAGTTCATGATATCAAACTTTTCTAATATTCTCATGCAATTGCTGTTTATTTTCAGGTCTTATTTTTGCAATTTTTGTGTCTATCAGGACTATTATTTGGCCAGTTTAGGCCTCTTATAGAAACTTTTTACCTAAACAATAATTTGTCAGTTTAAACGACAATAATGCTGACAAATCATGGAGAAAGAACACATTATACTTTACTCACCATTTGGCATGATGATATGGAGAGTGTCATTTTGAAAGATAGGTTTTTGTGACAAAATTATTCCTTTATTATTGCAATTAGCTTGGCAGAGGTCTTTTTGTAGCAGCACTTTGTATTCATGAAAATGTTTATAAAAGTGCAATCTATGAGCATGTTTACTGGATGTGTATCCCCATAACATTTGACTCACTAGAAACATTACTGCCTACATCATGTAATCTCTGTTACAATCCTTTTCTTTTCTATGCTTAGCAGAGTTTCCATAGATGTGTGCAAATTAAGTTTGAATTTATTTGACAAAACAGAATCCCACATGTCAGTGCTGTTTTGACCAGATAAGCTGCTCCATTCTGTGTATTTTATTTATCAATAATGTCTTTTTACATGGATGTTAGCTTTTAAATCCACATTGCAGAGACAGTGTTTTACAGTTCATGCACTTGCTTTTATATCTATATGCTTTCCATTTTAATTTGAGAGAACAAGCAGTACATTCTCACAGGCTGAGATGTTGAAGCATTTTAGCCTGTGAGAATGTATTGCTTGTTCTTTCAAAATGATTCTTAAATTTAAAAAATAAGCAAATTTTTAAAATAATATTTATGGCTTTTATAATTTTCATGACGTAGATATTGTTTATATATTTATATATGTATATATAAATTATAAATACTGTAATTAACATAATTGAGAATATCTACAAGTTGATATTTTTAGCAATATTTTCAGTGTTAATAAAAGAAAGTAGTAAAAAAATTAAAATTAACTTTGAAATTTTATGATTTATAAGATAATTCTAGTCAGTTTAATGAATTTTATGTTATACATTAAAGTAATGTGTAAAATTATATCTCTCACAAAGTTTAGCGGTTTATTTTCTTGCATGTATTGGTGACACACACTAACATGAAAACTGAATTTTAAAATATATAATTACGATATTATACATAATTTTATTCATAAGCTATCATAATGTAATTTTTTTTTATTACAGAAAGAAAAAACAGGGCTAAGAACACCTTACACTCAGAATCCACGATCGATGATGTTTTATGAATACAGAAGTGTCTTTTTTGTTTGTCAAAAACCAATTTTGTGAAATAATAATAATAATAATAATCAGTTTACAAAAAAACTGTTTAATAAATTGAAATTAGTAGTGTTTATATAATAACTACTAGAAAATTCTGATATGAAACTACATAAATTCTGTCATTATATATTTTATATTTTATTTTATTTTCTTATTAACTTTCAAAGGACAAATAAAATATTAGATTACAACATTATATTTTAAATTATTACAGTTGTCTATTTTATTCATTTACTTATTTAATTTATTAGGTTTGTTAATTAATTAATTTTTTTCACTAAATGCATTCTTAATTTTTTTTTTAGCAACAGAAATTAAAAATTTACATTATAAATCAGATAAGGAGAAAACATTTTTTTAGCAAATTTCAATGATTGCAAGTTCAATAATATAAAACGGTGATAAATTATAAATTTATTTGTTTACAATTATCTAAAATAATTTATTTTCAGTAATAAATATTGAATTTTGTATGTAATTTACCAAATTTACTCTCGTAATTATTAAGAATTGAAGAATTTTTCTGTTCAGTGTAAGATATACACTGAATATTGAAGATTCACATATAAAGTTGATGATTCGCTTATAAAATAATAATAAAATTAGGCATTTTATAGAACAGATTTTTGTTTAATAATTTGTTGTTTACATTTAATGAATTTTTATTTTTTAAATTAATAGGAAACATTAATTTTTATTGCTCCATACATTTGACTTTATACTTGCACTTGTTGTAGTTTCCAAGCATATAGATCTGTTCTGTTTATTATCTGATAATTTTAAATGAAATTTCTTAAATTTTGCTCTGTTTAAAATTAAATTTGTGATAAAATATATCATTTGGGACAAGTCTATGCAAAATTTATCCATTAATTTTTCTAATTTAGATGAAAAATTTTATTTTTTTTATGCACCTTAATACATAATTGTTACAATGATATTCTCAGTTTTTATTTTTTTTGTTCTGTTTCTGAAGCTACTTAAAATATTTGGTACTATAAAATTGGAATGTGGATTTAAGAGCTAAACAGGTATGTAATTATGTATTCAAATGTTGCTATATTTTTCTAATGTATATTATAAAAATTAAAATTCGTGTGCCCTTATAAGCAAATTTAAAACTATAAATATGAAATTTGTACAAATTGTATTGGGAATATAAATAAACTTTTAAAAGTGATTTAAAGCGTTTATTTTTAATTTGATATCCATCAATAAAATGTAAATGTTTTTCAAAATAACATAATTTTCAAAATGTTTCAATTACTGTAGTTTCAGTTTCTGTAATTTAGAAAATTTAACATTACAGATTATTCACTAGAATTTATATTGTCTAATTTATTTTTGCTGATTCTTTTAGTGAAATTCTTCAATCTTATAACAAATTTCAATCATTGTTTATTTTTCTATCTGAAATTTTAATTTTTCATCCAATCTTGGACATTTCTAAACTGAATTTCACTGAATGTTAAACCTGAATGTTAGTATGTCCCTAGTTTGATACTTTAAAGATTTTTCATCGTTTTATATATGAAATAAAAGCCTAAAGACATTTTTCATTTGATTTATATATAAAATAATTGAAATTGGATCCATTGGGTTTTATTATTTTACATTTTAAATATTCTTTTGGATGAAATCTTCTACTAAATCTTTATATAGGCAATAAATGCTTCATGAAAGTATTACTTTCAGGTTTAGTTATTTAAGTATATGGAAAATCAATATTGAATCAAGTTCTTTAATTGCCAAAACAGTGCTAAAAATGACTAAAATGTTTGGTTTAAAATACTCTTATTCTTTATTTAGTTATTTTTATGTACTGTATATGCCAAGTTTTTCCTCAAATTCTCCTGCCCTATCGTCACTTAAGAAAATCTTATTATATATATATATATGTTACTGTGAAAGTGGATATCATCAGTGGATGTATTGTATACCTTGAATCTGTACTACAGCATTCACAAGATCTCAATTTTCTGCTTATCCCTGAATGTGAAGCTCTCAGACAAAACTCTTACTTTAAGGACAATTGCATCTACAATTCTTTTTAAAATGCCAGGCCATGAAGTGTAAATACAAGAAGAATGGCACTTCTAAACTCTTCGGCTTGTTGCAATAAATAACGTTAATTATAAAGTTTTTTTGTTTTATTTTAAACTAGAAACAAACACTAGAAAGAGTATACAATCACTAGTGAATGTGGATTTATTTAAAATGGATTGTTCCACATTCACTAATTACTTTAGATTACATTCACTGTACAATCCACTTTCAGCGTAACAGAAAATTTAGTGAGGAATTGGCTTAAACGTATGAAAAAAACTAGATACATGAATTAAATACTTGGTGTGCTCTTTCATTATTAATTTCTTCTATTAGTGAGAGAGTAGGATAAGCAATTTTTATTATATTTAGCTCGTAATTTGGCATGTGATATTCTGATTTATTTACAAAAGATTTAAGAATTTCAGCCTGGATGAATTTCCAATTTTTGTAACGTTAACTTCCTAAATTACCATTTCATTTTTTTAAAAATAATTAAAACTTTGATGCGTTTGAAATTAATTTAAATTATTTATTGTGCTTTTAACGCTATACATTTGAGACTTGTCTCACGTTAATTAGTGCTGTCTTTCGCATAAAATTTCTCTTTTTTTGCTGATAATTGAATGTACACATATACACAGAACTCGATACACTCGACATATCAAAAGGCACATTCTACATTATACAATAATGTTAATCACAAAATATTTTCTATACAAGAATTTTTTTCTTCTTTTATAGATGGACCGATAAGGGAATTTATATTAAAGCAATATCGCATGTCCAAGTGCTTCACGTTTATCAAACGAAATTAAACAAAATATAATTTTCATACGGTTACGACGGATAAAACAAAAATATGGAAGATCTGTTTGTGTTTTTATCTATGTACAACAATATTTTAAATCAATTTTTAAGGAGGATTTACCTCTGCTATTTATATATTTGTAAAGAAATCGATACTTTCGATTTTCGAATTTATTTTTCCTAATTTACAGAGTAATTTCCAACAGAAACTAGGAAATTCGCATGTTGACCCAACGAAATTGTCTTTTTTTTTTTTCAGAATTTCTAGTATGCAATTCCGTTTGTTTTGATAAATATTAGCGAATTTTTAAGTTAAGATAGCGAAGATATTTGCAACGAGATAATTTACCTTTTTTCCGTGGAGTGATGATGCAGATCTTCCAAAAATCATAAAGGGACAACTCGACGTATATGTGGATTATCGCACAAATAAATATGATACGAACGATATAATTGGATAATAAAATATATAAATGAGCATTCGAAACACGAATATCTTCTATTGACTAGTAACTAAAACACTTTTTTCCCAAAATATCGATAACATGATGCGTGATAATCACAAACAAAAGCTTCATCATCGTCATTAACAACAAGCGTAGCTAAGCATCAATATTTCGAGATATTTACTTTGAATTTTTTTGTGTTTTTACTTATTTATTTATTTAATTTTTAACGTAATAATCGAGTAATTAAGGCAATCACGAATTCGATTTCTCTTTTTCTCTTTCCCCTCTACAAATTCTTTCATAAAAATCACAATCTCTCACGGATATTTTGTATTGCTATGTTTATAAACTAGCACCTCGATACGAAACAAATATCTAATTTTTTTTGTAACTGTATATTTTTTTTAATTTTTACAAAAAATTTCATGAAAAAATCTGTAGTTTCTTGCAACGTAGCGGATTTTTTTCTTTAAAGTGTTCTGTAACATTAATTGCTGCTCGGTTTGTATACTAAATATTATCTCTCGATCTTGCGGGGGTTAGAAAATGTCACAGGCTATATAACAAATACATTTTATAAGGAATTTTTGCCAGGAACTTCCTTAAAACTATTGTTAATTTCTCTTTAGAAATCCTCCATTATTTTCAGTACACGACAAGTTTGGTACCCGGTTTATTCTTTTGGTTATTCGATGCTCGAAAATATTGATATATTTTATTACTATTATTTTTTTTAAGTACGACTCGAGAAGTTATAGAGCGAAGTGATAGAAGTTTTCATTGATATGTTAGGGACTTGGTCCAGCGGAGATTACATGAGTGCATCTTTAGTTTCCGGCAACTTAACGGAACAAATGCTGCCTAGCAATATAACTGCAGCGGAAGTAAGGATGGGTACTGCTTTACTCGTTCCGATGAAGCTGCCAAAGGTCAAATTTCCCAAAACGGCGGCCAAGCGACTGATGGCACTCAAGAAACCGTATCCTGTACTCCTGCAAAGAAAATCGATAGAGTTAGAATTTCCTCTTCCTCCGGGCGCATGTTTCTTTTTTACAATGGGCAATTTTAGAAACCTCAAAGTGGCCGGGTATACTTCCGTGGTGATGACGTCGACCGCATTCCACCCCGATATGGATATGAAATTGAAGACAGCTTGGAAGGAGACCACTGCGCTCTTCGAGTCCAAAAACCAGATGAAGAAAGCGCTGGTTCCCGCTAAGAATAGGGAAGTTCCTGGAAAATAATGAAGGAAATGATTATTTATATTTTTTAAATTTATTTAATTTAAAATATATGCTCTCCACCTCAAATTAGTAGTCTCTTGCCCCTGTACATCATACTTTTCCTGATAACTACAAAGTCATGTATGTAACTCCATTCAGGGAAAATTTTTGAATTGAATTAACGTGACTTCCGTTCTAGATCGGGCGTTTGTGTATAGTTAATCAAAGCCTCCTGCCCTTAGTCTTTCCATTTGTGGTCCCAAATTTTATATATCTAACACCGTTCTCGGGATTAAGGAAGGACAGAGAGACAGAATTTGTAGGTCTACAATTATTTTTCAAATTGAAGCCCCATAAGATATGAAAAGTTCATTCTTCTATTTAATTTCTCTATCATTTTATTAGGATTTCTGCTGGAAGATTTATATAAGATCGTTGCGTGCAGTCCACGCAACAGGCAAATTGATTTGGACTAATGCATGGGCAAAAAAGTCACATAATTGTATCTAATCTCTAGAGTCCGTGTTTATTACACCGAAAATACAAATAATTGGAAATATTCTACTTTATCTATAAAATATAAGTGAGAAACACGGGGTTTATATAATGGAAGTTATGCAACACTTTCTTCCTCTACAAATTTCATTCCTAAATCTCTTTGTAAGTATAGGATGTAATCATTACGTAGCAATTATAGAACTTTCCTAATTTTTAAAAGAATTTCCATAAATTTTATAAATGTTTTGAACTAATGTTGTCATATATAATAATAATAATAATACGGTAGACAATTCATCATAGTGAAGTATTTCTTTCCACTCCTTAATTAATTTGAATCGCTGACTTAATTTTATTTATTATACATACAAAATAACAATTGTACAGATATTTTCATTCGCGTGATTAAATATTATCTAGAATTTCGAGAATTTCATCGTTAGAAGACGAAACGAAATATCTGAAGATGTGGAGTGGAAGCGATTTTAATGAGGAGAAACTACCGGAAGCGATTCAGATAATTGTAATTATTTAATTATAACGAATTAAATCTTCGAAGTTTTATCATTATAACTTCACCGTATTTTAATTATTAATTTATTAAAAAAACTTTAAGTATTTTCATTAAAAATTAACGTTATAAACAAGCATTGACGTAGCAGTGATGCTGCAGGAATTAGAATATTTATTTTTGAACAAATTATAGGACCTCGCTCTATTCAATATGTATAGGAGGGATGCAGGGATCCTCGTGTCTATTTAGCACGTGCGAAATTTCTTCCCTATTAAATTAAGTCCCACATAATCCCGAATTACTTTGTAGAAACTTTGTCTTAAAGAGAGTTCAAATTTCAAACTGGAAAATCAAATTAGAATTCATAATATTTATTTTAATGATCTAATATCGAGTTGAATAAATAGAAAATTTGGAAAGACGTCTTTCCAAATTAAGTTTTAATAGTTGCATTGGACCAATTAGAACAGCCTTTGGCTAAAATGTATAGATAAACACTGTGAATCTCTCTCTAGAAATCTGTGTTTGTCCACGATTATTAAACAAGATAAATGGATTGTGGAAGTTTAAACTTGTAAAATTGTAAAATAGATTTAACAGAAGAGCCAAGAGCAGATTTCTTTCTTATTCTGATGCGTATAAAGTATATTTTTTTCAATGGAATGAAGTTTAAGATGACGTGGATTCAATCAAGAATATAAACTTTCCTGTAGAATTTAATGAATCAAACTGGCTCGAGTAGTTTTTATTTTAATTTTATTCACCATTGCTTAGTTACTATTAATAATAATACGTTTTACGGTGTCTTCATTTTATTTTTTACGCAATAACCTAATTAACCATTCTAATTTATGATTGAAGTAGTTGATTATAATGAGATCTCTCTGCTCCAAGTACTAATTTTCTACTTTTTTCATAAAATAATTCGATGGGATTAATCTCTGCGATTTTTTCAAATAAAATAATTAGAGAATTGTTCTTAAATATTAGAAAATTTCCAGTTAAATTTGTGGGTATATCTTCAAACTTCAGTAATTTATTCAAGTAAATCATTATCCTACATTTTCTTAGTTTTGCTCCGTAAGTAACCACGAATAAAAGAATAATTTATGAAGTGCATAAGCAATTTAAGAAGTTCGCGAATAACATTCTCCCCATTTAGCCATTTGTTTTTTAATATTCGAATGCAATGCAGATTATAAGATTTAAGTTTTTATTTATATAAACAAACTAAGAAAATAATAAAACAACGAAATTGCATTTTAAATATAATAATTCGAAGGAATTTTATATTTTTATAGCAGAAAAAATATATAAAAATTTGAAAATTCGAAGGTTTATCTTGTATATTTTAGGCTGGAACAACGTGACGCGTTCTATTCTACAGCAGAAAATCTATTCTTTCTTCCGCATCCCTGGAGGGAGTGAGTTTTTCTTATAATATTTTTGACACGTTCTAGTCGATAGTCCAGGAGTTTATACTCAAAAAGACATTTCTAAATTTAATTTCTGATATTTTGAGTTGTAATGTAAATAATCCTTTATAGGAAAAATATTAAAAACATTTTTCTTAAGGAAAAAAAATAATTATTATTTTATTTTATTTATACTTAAGTTAAAATAAACAAAGTCTTACGTTTGACATTTTTAATAATTTAAATAATTAGAATTAGGAGAAAAAGTTTCTATAATTAAGCCAAGAAATTAAATTGTTATTTCGACTTTTAATTATATCATCGATTAAAAATTTTTAATTATCGAAATTTTCGACTTTTTTAAATGTTAGAAAATTATTTAAATTAAATAAATTACATTTATTTTACTTAATTGAAGCTTCTATTTTTCTATTTTAACACGTTTATTCACGAATATTTTTACTGTACTTTCTTAGAAACCATTGAAGGAATTTAATGAAGTTTATTCGTTTAAAAATTCAAAAAAATTTCTAGTTTTTTCCGATATTATTTAAAAGAAATTCCTTATTTATTTTATTCAATTTTGACGCTTAATCAATACAACGAATATCGCTAAAATATTCGTGAATATTTTAATTAATTTATCCAGTGGTTTCTAATAAAATACCAAATGTTTTTTAAAACTTTTTAATGAAAATATTATAATTCTTTTCTTTTAAATAATTAAGAATATTCTTTAAAAAATTCCAAAAAATTATTATTATTTTGTTTAATTGAAGCGATTCTTTAACAAATTGCACTAAAATATACTGAATAATTTAAAATTTCTTCAATATTTTGTAGTAAAATAATGCAATAAAGTTTAAATATTCATTTTTTTATTTAAATCATATCTAAAAAAATTAATTTTTTAAGAAATTCCTCAGAAATTCAGTTCGTTTTTATTCATTGTGATGCTTATTCCAACTTAGAAACAGTGCAAAAATCGAATAAAAATATTCACCATTATTAATTTAAAGGAAGATATTCACAAAATTAAAGCTTTAATTCTTTTATTTTTGTTAAAATATTTCAAAAATAAATTAAAAATTCTTTTCACTCACCCATGGTCCTGACTCTTCCTAAGCAATCCAGAGCATAAGCTGATAATATATTGCCAGGGATGATGGCCAGTTGTGTTATGAGATTTTGTAAAAATATCTCTGATAATTTATAATTAATATCGAAATCGATTCGGCATCCCGTCTTAAGATTCGATATATTTGTATCGTGAAAGAAGCAATTTTGAAATTTGTAATTGTAAAAATCCGTATCGTTAAAGAGGACTTTATCGAAATCGCTGCTCTGAAAGAACGTTTTACTCGATCTGATTCGTGTGAAATTACTGTTTGTAAATGAACAGTTAGAAAATATGCAATGGTTTATAACTATGTTAGAAAAATTGACGTTGTGGAAATACATGTTCTGAAAATGGATGTTGTCTAAGGTGTAGTTAATGGTTCGACTTTCGATGGTCGTGTTGGCATATGTCTTTGAATTCCCTCGATACTCTTCTAGATCTAGTTTCTTAATATATTCTGGGAACCATATAGAAAGTCCGTAAAATCTGTAAAAATAAAGTACGTCGTTATAATTTTTAACTATCTCTACACGTGGTTTAAGGTTGAACCTATAAAGATTTATTCCAACAGCTTGGAATGAATCCTCATCTTGGGATGAGGGTTCGTTCCAAGAGCTTAAATACTTATCAAATATGCAAAATTAAATCTTACTATAAGAAAGTATTCTAGATTTAGTTTTAATATATAAAAATTACAAATTTAGTTAATAAAGCGTTAATCAATGTTTGCTTTCGTATCTAAAAGGAAATCATTACGTAGAAGATAAAAGGATGGCTTAGAAGTGGAAACAATGTCGAATCCCCTGTAAATTTCTACTAAAAGTGAAGTACGTTCGATAAATCTCTCTAACAAATTGGAGAAGAGGCTAAAAAAAGTTAACATTAGTAGGGAACTGTGATGCTATTGTGATCTACAGCTACTCCAAAGCAAAAAGTATAGCAAGAATAATTTGAGAGAGAATGTCTTATCTGAAATATTTTTTGTTTAACATCTGTAAGAAGGTGAGAAGAACTACTAAAACTTCTTTCACAAACAGAAAACAATGAAAATAAATATAAGCTTGCTTCTCCAGTTATTCTCTATAATGTTAGGTAAGGTGGAGGAAGAAGAGAGGATAGAATTGTAACGTTAAATTTATAATCATCTTAAAAGTTTACAAGTATTAAATCAATTCAGAAGATATATTTATTGACATTTTTAATGTCTTGTAATAATTAAATATATTTTAAATGAGTCTATAAATAGAAAGAAGCCATTTCCAAATTTGATTTTTGTTTAGATTATATTAAAATTAACGAGTAAATGTACTAAATTATGGTTACGTATTTATAAAAATTGCATGGAGAAGAGTAATAATAATTCATTGTTAAATTCAATTCTTAAATATAATTTAATTTAATGCAATAAAAGTTAAATGCCTTGTGCTTCCTGGAAGATAAATGATGCACGGGATCGCATAATCATCCAGGATTTCTTCTGATAGAAAGAGATTTACACGTCATTTACTGTTTTATATGTATCAGGAATAAAGAAAATTTGTCAAAGATACATTTAACAACGTTTATATTTGTTTAGCGAATACATTAATCCAATTAAACTTAAAAGTTTTCAAATATAAATCAATAACTAGTTAGTTAAAACGAGACTTTTCATTTGTGCTTTGATAAATATCAAGATGACAGAATAAAATTAAGAATTAGAATTATATTTATCATAAGAAAGAATGAGTTAATGCATTATTCTATTAAGTGGAATTTAAAATATTAATTCCATTACAAGATGCCATTACTAAGCCAAGAACTTGATTTTATTCGAATAAATGATAGAGAAAATGTTATATATTTTAACAATGTTTATAAGAATATCAGATTAAATCCTTTACAAATAATTCCTTAAGGAACGTATTAAAATTTGATTTTATAAAGACGTTTTATATATTTATGCTAAAGAAACTTGAAGTATCGACCATCTACGTTTTGTTATATTGTATACAATACACCGTTTCAAACGCAAATATATTTATATAAAATGTTTATTTAGTTGAAAAATAATATTTTAAAATATATTATAAGAAATATAACATTACATTTTTTAAAAAATTATGTTTTTTAGCATTTTTTTACATTAATAAATGAAGAAATTCTCATTTAGAATGGCGCAATGAGAGAAGAAAAATTGGAAATAAGCGGATTTATTCACATCTTTNTTTTAAAAAAATATATATTTAAATATAATAAATATTAAAATTAAATGTTGAATAATCAAAGAATTTCATCTAGAAATTCATTCTAATTTAAAATCTAGAGTTAATTAAAATACATTTTTAATCAGTCAAAAAGAAGAAGAAAAAAGACGACTTTCTCTTTGTCAACTTCGTAAATTTCCCAAGGAAGAAAATATTGATCCAATGAACTACATTTTATTTCCTCTAATATATTCTTATTCCCAACAGCAGCAAGATTTTATATAGAAATCTTTATTTTTTATTTTTATTTTTTTCAACTCCTCTATTCTTTCTTTTTTTACTTAATTAAAATTAACTTTATCACACACGATAAAAGTCATAAAACGTGTGGAATTTGACTCTTTGGTGCAAAAATTATTGCTAGAATTTATCTACAGGGTGGCCCAAAAGTCGCTTAACCGAGATACACGCGTTTTTTTAAAGAACGGTCTGCGGGTTGATTAACGCGCTCCCACTGGTTAACTGAATTTTGGGCTCACGTATTATAATTATGGAAAATTTTATACACGAGACTTACTTCTAACAAAAATCTGGGACTTTCTGGCAAGAAACATAAACCAATTATTGCGAGGAGTGCGGGAATGGCACATATTATAAGAAATATCCTCCAACTATTGAAATGCAAATGATGTGATACAAGAATGCTGAAACCTTCAGGAGAAAAAGAAAAAAAATGTTAAGGAGTAAATTAATTAAAATTGTCTAAAATAAAAAAAAGAAACGATGTTATTTAGTTTATCCTTTAAAAAATACTGTTTATAATGTAAAAACTAAAGTTTAACAGAAAAAAAAAATGTGTTTTAACAATAAGAAAAAGCTGTAATTACTAATTTAACAATAAAGTGTAAATACCGTTACACAACTTAGAGTTTATATGAGAATTTATTATATTAAATGTAAAATATACCGGGAAGAAGAGAATATTATTTTAATTTACCAAAGAGTTATCCATAAAAGGAGAGTTCAATTTTAATGTTAATGCTATTACTGTTTTAGAAAATAGCAAACTCAGCAAAATAAAGTTAATGGAGTTTCTTAAGAAGATTTTATTGATGTTTTTAAATAGGAATAAGAAATTTTTTTTATTAAATTCTTAAAAAGAAAAATAATAAAGAATTGAGTAGCTTCCCTGCAACGTTTCCACGCATTGCAGGGAAGCTACCCACATTCAATAACAGCTTATATTCGCACAGTATATACGAATCATTTGCATGAAAATAAAATTGCTAAAATTGCACGAATAATGGCGCCATTATTTATTACTCTATAGAATTTTCCAATGTATTTTAAAAAGGAAATTAAATAAATAAAATACATATTTTATCTTTAGGATTTACAAAAGGTAAAAGCTATTTTTAAAAAAATATATATTTAAATATAATAAATATTAAAATTAAATGTTGAATAATCAAAGAATTTCATCTAGAAATTCATTCTAATTTAAAATCTAGAGTTAATTAAAATACATTTTTAATCAGTCAAAAAGAAGAAGAAAAAAGACGACTTTCTCTTTGTCAACTTCGTAAATTTCCCAAGGAAGAAAATATTGATCCAATGAACTACATTTTATTTCCTCTAATATATTCTTATTCCCAACAGCAGCAAGATTTTATATAGAAATCTTTATTTTTTATTTTTATTTTTTTCAACTCCTCTATTCTTTCTTTTTTTACTTAATTAAAATTAACTTTATCACACACGATAAAAGTCATAAAACGTGTGGAATTTGACTCTTTGGTGCAAAAATTATTGCTAGAATTTATCTACAGGGTGGCCCAAAAGTCGCTTAACCGAGATACACGCGTTTTTTTAAAGAACGGTCTGCGGGTTGATTAACGCGCTCCCACTGGTTAACTGAATTTTGGGCTCACGTATTATAATTATGGAAAATTTTATACACGAGACTTACTTCTAACAAAAATCTGGGACTTTCTGGCAAGAAACATAAACCAATTATTGCGAGGAGTGCGGGAATGGCACATATTATAAGAAATATCCTCCAACTATTGAAATGCAAATGATGTGATACAAGAATGCTGAAACCTTCAGGAGAAAAAGAAAAAAAATGTTAAGGAGTAAATTAATTAAAATTGTCTAAAATAAAAAAAAGAAACGATGTTATTTAGTTTATCCTTTAAAAAATACTGTTTATAATGTAAAAACTAAAGTTTAACAAAAAAAAAAATGTGTTTTAACAATAAGAAAAAGCTGTAATTACTAATTTAACAATAAAGTGTAAATACCGTTACACAACTTAGAGTTTATATGAGAATTTATTATATTAAATGTAAAATATATGGAGAAACTTACCAGTTTTGGGTATAATCCCCCAAGCGACTACAGAGACGAAGACCCCTCCAAAAGCCCAGAACATTAGCATCCAACTGAGATGACGTCCTCTGTTCTTCTTGTCCAAAAATTCGCAATAATACGTGAAAACTATTGGCAGGGAACCTCCCACTCTGCAACGTAACCAGAATTTACGTCAAGGAAAAGTAAGATACAAATTAATAAATCGTTTGAGAAGGGATATATTTACCCGATGCCACTGCAGAGTCTACTGACCATGAACAGGCCGTAATTGGGCATAAATGACGTGAGTATGGCAAATATTGCGTTTGTACAAAGGGCAGAAAGGAGCGTCCTTCTCCTTCCCATTCTATCTGCTAAATTACCCCAGACGATCCCTCCGATCATCATTCCCACGAAAGATATACCTCCTGCAATTACCAGATTTCATTAATTAAACTCATTTCTTAAGTAATTATACATTTACGTATTATGAAATTTTTCTTTCTTTGTACTTTCTGTTCCTGCTGTACTGTACGTTTACTTTATTCATGTGGTCGAAATTATGAAGGAAGTTCTTTACGTTCTCTACAGATAATTTAATAATTAAATTTAATGTGTTAAAATAAAATAATCTTCTGTAGTGTCTAGTAATTAATAATGCATCATGATAGTGTCAATTAATATTCCACTTTCTTCCTTAAGATGATGAACTTCATTTCAAATCTCAGGTGCGTTAAGCAGAAAATTTTCCAGAAAGGGGCAAATCTTAGAGACAAATAATTACATCAATAAATTTTTATTTTATTTAATTTTTGGGAATTTTCCCCCACAAGTAGATTATAGATACAGTATTGCATCAGAGCAGCCTATGGTCGAGGATGTTAAGCTTACGTATTTCAATCGTTTTTACGATTATAATTTGTGGAACTTTTTACTTTATCCTGGGGATAAGTAGCACATTTTTCCCTCTGTAGATGCTCGTAGGACTGCATAATAACTTTCAAATTTGGGATTTTTCAGTTGTGAACTGGGTAGTAAACTAACAGAATTAAGATAAGGTGTACGTCCTATAAATAACTCACTGCGTGACGAAACCTTCCATGTAAAAACATGAAAGTATATTTTTCTCACAAAGAACTTGCTATTTTCTTCTATTCATCGCTGTTATTTCAAATAACGCAGTAGAACAGGGTGTAAAGAGCAACAACAAAGATGATCTCTAAGTGCTTCTACATGTGATACTTTCCTATAAGTATTCAAGTAACAATATTCGATTTGTATAACGATATTTTTTATAAATATAATCAGTTTTTAAATTTTCCATTGTTGAATGTCTCAACACTCCCTCAATTCATCTCGAAACTAGGATAAACATAGTATGCACTTCTACAATAAGTTTCTTTGATAAAGTTGGGTCTTTTAACAATTGATTGAGTATCTTTTCCTGTCACGACATCGATTACTCCTTAATTATCGAAACTTCATCCTTTTTAAACACAACCAGGAGCAAAACGAAACAAGTAAACATCCAATTTAACTAGAAAATCCGGAGTGCAACATTTGCAGAATTTATAAGATCCTTATTTGTATTATTTTTTTTTTAATTTTTAAAATTAACTAAATTCTACCCTCGATACTAATTATTACATTATATTACATTAAAAAAAACTAAACTGTTTCTAATTTTTATACATTAATAAACAAACAAATTGCAAATAAGAATGAAATACAATTTTATTTTTTTATAAAAATATAAACATTTTATTTATTATTTTATTTTTGGTACTAGAAAAGGAAAAATAGGTAAACCTGTATAGCATTTTTGATATTTCAAATACTAGAATTCATCTAAGCATGTTATAAAAGTGATATTTGTGAGTGAAATGTCATCTGAAATATTTTTCTATCGATCCGCTACATAAATATCACAAACACTCCTACTCTTCTACAGTGGAGTTATATATTTAGGGCATCTATATATATACTTATAACAATAAAAATGGATAAAGGTATATGTTGAGGTATTCTTACCTAACCATCCTTTCTGGTAATCTTCCATACACAATTCTTTTTCGGCACTGGGAAGAATGTAAGCTACCGAAAAAATTTCTATAGAATCTGCCATCAATCCTAATCCCACCACAAAAAATAAAAGCCATTGGAACATCCCGAATCCAGCCTGAAATTAAAATCAAAATTTTTATTAAATTTAACTTGGAATTCTTAATTTTAAACAGAATTATTGGTTTCTTCGAGCTTTAGATAGACTCGGGATGAAGAAAATTCCATGGTCTTAAACACTATGGAAATGTACTCTCTCTGAAGTGATGAGGATAGAGAGATTTCTTAAATAAATTAATTAAGTAATATATATTAGATTTTAATTTTATAAATATTACAGTTTTAAAATTGTAGATTCGATTTCTGTATCATTATTTGTCGAGTGTGGCGTACGTCTAGATGTCTGCTTGTTTTTATTGACGCCCTTAATAACTCGAAAACTTCTCCACAAATTAACTTTATTGATGAATTCTGAATCAATTTAGCTTCTGATATCTTTTTTTTTTAAATTATGAAACAAATTTCAAATTTATATATTTTTAATTTTAATAAAGTAAAAGGCAAAAATTGGAGAAAATCTTTTGAAAAATTCATCTTTGCACTTGAATGACTATTGCAAAATTGAGAGAAATAAATTTATCGTATCTAATATATATTTAAAGAGAATGTATACATGTTTATAATACACAAATAACCATATATCATTATTCACGATAAATTTTATTGAAAATTAATGCTATTTCTGTAGCTACAGTAGAAAATAAAGCGTGAATTGGTCTTAAGCCCAAAAGAACAAATTCCAATTGTAACGCATCATATACGAGGATTATATAATATCTGAACTAATGACAAAATCTCATTCAAAAATAATATATATATACGAAAAAATGAGAAAATACATAACGTTGTCTATGACGTCATAGACGAGTAGGCGTCACGGTAATCGACGCCACGTTTCTGTGTAAAGGCTTGCATCACAAATTCATCGTACCATCGGCATCGTGTTCAGGTCACAAGTGGGTCTCGACTGTTGAAGCACGAGCTCATTCAGGCAAATCCACTTCCTCGCAAGTGCCATTGATGCGTAGAGGCTAGTTCATCGCAAATGGCCTGTAGCCACCGCTTTCCATCTTCCGCAGTGATATCACATTAGCAAACTGGACTTGGGATACACTAAAATCTGTTATTAATGTCTTATCATGTCATTATCAGACAACATGTTGTCATTTTCCTGCTCTTCCGGGTCATAGTTTATATAGGTCAGTGACGAAGTTCGACTACATGTTTTATTTGTCTGGTTTAAAATGTTCTTTTTAGGGATTACAAAATGTAACACATTTTGTAACACATTTTGTAATCCCTACAATTGACTGATGTCGCTTTTTTCTAGGGTAACGCCAAAACAGGACAATTCCTTTGGTTGAAAATATGACAGAGGATTTCGAGAAGCCTCCTTTATTCGAATAAAGGATACATCTCAGTTCTTAGATATTAACAGATTTTCTCTATTGCATTTTGTTTCGGAAGTGGTTTCTTCGCTGCTTAGTACTGACCAATCATACACATAACTATAGTCGTAACCAGCCAATACTTATCTTGAATATTAAATCTTACAGATGCGCAATAAACGAGTTTTACCATTGATCGACTTTCAGTGGCTTGTGTCGGACGGGTAGATCGGTAATTAACAATTGGTTAATTACTACTCCCTGGCACAACGGAACTACAGCACGATTCTGGCCTTACGCATAATGAATTAACCTCCTTCTTGATTTCCAATAGTTGAACAATTTCTGCATGTAACATGAGCTAGTCAAACTTCTTCGTCATTGGCCTCCGTACTATCCACCGTCCACCTCTTTGACACTGACCTCGACAATCACAGTCAGAAACTCCAGTACTGGCATTCTTAATTGAATCAAGTTTCTTTGATATTTTACGAATTCTGGGCGACAAGGATCATTTTCATTGTCGATATTTTGGACCTTGCAATGCGTCAAGAGCTCCTATAACAGAACAGACTCGTTTGCATATACGTTGAGAGTGACGTATGCCTTTTTTTCGAATGGACAAAACACTTTGTACGCTTTACTAACGTAACCATTTAACATACCGAGTTTAGCTGTAAGACGAGCTCATTCTTCGTATCCTTGCCGACATGAAAATCACTTAGGAATCAAAATTGCCAACCACATGTGCATTGATATTTTGCCGTTCAATGCCGTCGTCGGTACCCTATTGTTCAGGTATATTGTTTCTCAGAAATGAGTTGTATTTTAGCCTTTTTCGTAGACAGAATACGGCTTGTAACAGAATACGGGACGTCGATACAAGTAAATTGTACAAGTGTGTGTATTATCCAGTGTCGTTACACTTCCACAGCATAGTACCTGAATTTAATTGCAAGACCATGTGCTTTTTACAGAGTCAGTGCAAGAAAAACGAATCAATACCATGATACGATTCAAAGTCGTTTATGCAATTTGTTAAATGGCACGTTGCCCCCAAAGTCCGCTAACATTGTAGCTTTACGCCTTTACCAGCAGTCAGTTGCACCATTACCTTCAACAGGGTGCAAAAATCCGCTAGGTACAGTACAGCACGTCGGACAGAATTCCAGAATTGTACGTCCAGATGATCGCCTGATCACTTGGATGTAATTCTGTACTTTCAAAGTACTTTGTGTCAAGCAACATCAATGTTTAAAACACTACACGAAACAGGGTGTATATTTGTATTAGCACAAGCAAACGTGGGGTAAATTACGTGTTAAACATGTCTCACAACACGTCCAGTAGGGAGGTAATTATAATGTGCATTACTCTAAACATACGTATGTCTAACACCACGTGTTTCTATACACTCATTTCGGTAAAGACCAGCTCTACTGCAAAATTAACACTGGTAGCAAAAATTGAAATTCATTATCATTTAGATTTTAATTTTACTTTCCTCTACAGTTATTTTGATATTCGGAATTCGCCACACTCAACAAAGTTCAGCGAAACCCGCAACGACGAAATTGTGCCAAAATTCACGAGCTGACTACTTCTCCTGGGTCTATAACCAAGCTGTAGAGTTATAACAGAAAATAAAAATGCGAATTTAATTTTAAACACGAAAGGCAGTTATAATTATAAAATTTATTGTATGCTATCTGAGCTGCCAACAAAGAAAATGGGAAAAAATCCAATACTGTACTTTGTGTAGCGGTTGATGACGTAAGTGATACCAAACAGTTTCTACAATTTTCCCAAATTTCCTTTAAAAATTTAAACAGAAAACCATTCGATTCCCTTTAGAATCTTCTCATTCAAGTTAGGAATCATTCCCAGTCGGATGCCAACGACCTCCTGAGAGATGCCGAAAACAATTTGGTGAGTAGAATATATCATAAAATTCTACTTTATTTATTTTTTTACTTTTATTTTCATTGAGATTTTCTAGATAAAGGGTTGCTATCATTTTGTGTATCCCCCAATGGCTTTTTATTGGTAAGGTATGTTTGGTGTGATCCCTAGCTGCAGTATTGTAAGCACTTAAGCTCTTCTGTTGCTGCACCTGATCTCGTACGCACGCACTTTTTGCATCTTTCTTTTTTATACTTTTCTTTTCTTTGAATCCGAGTCTATGTTTTTTGTATTTATATTCGAAATTTTTCTGCAAGTTTTTATTGTAATTTTATAACTTGCAAAATCTATATCTGAAGTCTCGACTTATATTCAATTTTATTGACTATAAAAAGCTAAATTTTATGATTTTTCTTGCCAGAACGTGTACTAGAAATCGTAAATAATTAATTATTTAAGAGAATATAATCTTTATTTCCTGTTTTAATGGCGTTATAACTGTCTAATAAATAATATTAACTACGAAACAATGTGCTGTACACTAGCTATAATTTATTATTTGATATTGCCTGCTTTAATCTAAATTACAATTTAATTTTGACAAATATTAAAATTCAATTTTCGATTAAAATATTTAAAAATAGAGAATAATTTTAATTTTCTAATCAATAAAGAAGAAAGAAGCATCATCTCTCCGCATCTTTCAGCATCATTTTTAAAACAGAAAACGACTCAAAATTAAAGAAATGCATTGATTTCTTTATACTCTTTCATTTTTTAAAATAGAGAAATCTTTTATTCTGAATTTAAATTAAAGAAGAAAGATGTTTCTGCTTGTTTAAATCAATAAACACATAAGTTTATAACACTGATGATGGAAGAAGGATACAGAATAGTGCTGGCACTAGAGAAGAGCATTAGACAATTACTTACCTGAGAAATGGCATCTTCGTGAAATTGAGAGAGAACAGACACGTCTGTATCTACATAATCCATCTCTCTAATATCTCCATGAGTATCACCCGCACTCGTCCTCCCCCCTTCTTCTGTATAAGAACTGGCAGGAACTTCTTTACTAACCAACGATTCGCTCTCCGAATCTTCTTTACTTCGCAACATTTTCTTAGTTTTCTCTTGAGTTGTTCTATCTAAAACTATAATTGTATACAGAATATTAGTGCTATATAAAAATACTACATACAGTATATAAATAGTATTAATGTATTAGAAATGCTGGAAATTCTTAATTGCAGAGAAGGAAGATGCTGTAACATTAAAGAATTCCTTCATAAATTTCACTTTGTAAGTGAGAATTTGAGTCGTTATTAGCTGTTGAAAGGCTTAGAGCTTCCAAATAATGTGATAAAATAGAAATAATTATGAATATTCTTCGAAATTCTTCAATATTTTAGAGACAAGGAGAATCGTGTTATCTCTACCCAATTTATAATGTAGAGTTTAGAAATTATAGCATCCCTATACACTCGGTGAGTAAAATTGATTATTGTACAGATTTAGTGATAGAGTGAGGGATATATGTTGTGAAATTAGCGAGAAATATAAAATATTTCACAAAATTTCACAATATAAATGAATTTTCTATGTGTAAACCACAAGAAAGCTCGATTGATTTACGATAAAAATTACTTAAAAAAATGCAAAATTATGCAATGAAATCATAATTTTTTATTTTCCTTTTCTATTAAAAAAATGTAGATTTTAAAAGGATAATCTTTCATGTAAATTTGTTAATTGTAAATATTAAAATATTCTTAAAATAAAAATATTTGTAAGCTAAATTTATGCCATACTTATCAGTTTATTAGAGGATTCGTCTATTTTTTCCCTTAGTTTTACATGCCTTAATCTATTCTTTACACAAGAGCTTTAAAAAAATATCTGTCTCATTTTAAAATAAAAAGATAAAATTTTATATTTATTTTTTTAAATGGCGGAAATTCCTTTTATTGTTCGAAATATCTCACTCGTAATCGCCGTTAATTGAAAAATATATATATTCGAAATTTAAACCGAATTCTGTTCCTAACGAAAAGAAATCTTGGAGGAAAAATAATTGAAGAGTTTCTAAAATTTTTAAATTTTCTAAAACTTGCAAAAATAGAAATATTTATTATTAAAAATAGTGGAAGAAATTTTGTTTCTCATATAAATCATCCGGAAAAATAATTTTCTTCTTCCTTCTCTTACGTTCTTATAAAGATAAAAGCTATTTTAAAGGACGTAGAACTACAAAAAAGAATAATTAATTACTACAAAAATAGAATTTTAAAATAAAAAATTGCAGGATAAAGTTTTTTGTATAAGAATTTATATGTTTATTTGAGGAATTCAGATGAAATTGTAAGATATTTGATACTTCTCCATTGATGTTACCTGAATTTTTCTTCTTAACGAAAAGCAAAATTCTATAAACTTAATTTGGATACGTTTAATATACATAAAAATGCCCTGTGAAATTTTAAAATTAAATATAAAAATACAATTTATATAATTTAACTAAATTTAAATACATAATTCCTCAAAATCTAAAACTTTGAGGAATTTGCTAAAGTGAATTAACTGGATGTCTATAGTTTCATTTTTCCACATTTTAGTACATTTGTATCGTATAATGAGATATTATTTGGAGCTTGTTTTCTGTAAATTCTCAGAGAAAACAATTGTTTTCTCTGAGAATTTAAGCAGCTTGCAGTTGACAGAATTCCTGCGATCTTGATCTGGGGATGCTTTGTGTAGAAAGCACCATAAACAAAATTTTATTTCTACGCTGAACTGCAGATAATTTGAATATATTTGATAAGAAATAAAAAATAAAAAGATTTTATTAGTCAAAGTTTTCGATATTTGGGGGGGGGGAATGGGACCATCTCCGCTACATAGGCTACATCACTACTTACATACCACACACTCGCATATCATAATTAAATTCTATTTTTGGTTACGTTTATCGGTTTTTGGGGTAGGACCATCAACCCTTAAAACATCATTAAAATGTATTGTCATCGGTTCTCAAAGTTTCAGCCTTCTATTTTAATTAGAGGTGGGTGAAATTTGAGTTGCAAGATTTGAGGACATTAAAGCAAGTTAAATAAAGCAAAAATTAAGTTTAAAATAACAGAAAGATTATAAATCATGTCTATTTACTTGCTTAGATACTCAATAATACAGATATAAATATACAAATTTTAATATTACAGGTGCATCTTTAACAGTTTCAAAGATTAAAATAATTCCCAAAGATAAAAATATTTATCTTAAGAGGCAATGAACTAGAAAAGTCAATGGAACATAATATTTCAGCTCATTTTATTGACGTATTGTTCGTAATACAGAGAACTTACATCAAAGATGAGCGCAGGTGAAGAATATCAAGCAGATCTGCAGAATCGATGATGCGACGAGATAAACAAGCGACAGATGTCATCGGTATAAATCAGTACAATGTAATTAGTTCTAATATGTAAACAATAAACTCTTTAATAACTAAATAACATTTAATTTTTCATAGTTAATTTAATCTTAATTAAGATCGATACATTGTATATTATAGAATATTTAACATTTAATTTAATGAAATCGTTACTATCGTATGATTAAAATATAGAAAAATATTCTCACGAATTATATATTAGATCCAGAATATATTAAAAAGGAGGATCATACTTCTTTTATAGCTCTAATTCGCTTGTTTCTAAACGTATAATTAGGAATAAAACCAAAATATTTTAACTAAAGCTGTAATTATATTTGTAAAACTTCAGCATATTGAAAATTACAGATGTATATTTTAGTATGAAAAACTCACCGGAAATATTCTAAACGTCCATTTATAAAAATGTGGCCAAGTAAACAGCGATTAAATTCGAGAAGATCATTAGAGGTAAAGTAAATTTTTAATTAAAAGCTTTAGAAGAAACGAGTTATAAAAAAATTTATGCGTACAATTTAAAAATAATGAGAAACGAAACTTTTTAAAAATACTTTTCTCCCCACTTTATAAAAGGATAATAAAGATTTTAGCGTTTTATTGACTAGATGGAAGATTTGGAAAATTTTCTGACATAAATTAGACATGTAACTACAAGTTGGAGAAGATTGTCAAAAGAAATTCTCTTCATAAATTTTCTAGAGAAGAATGGCGAGAACATCTCTACAAATATTCTCAGATTTCTTTTTTAAATATTTATTCTATCTCTATCTCTAATAGCATATTATACTCCAGGAGTATCCATTTTATCTTTATACTAAAAATTGCTATCGCTCTCCTTTATCACTCGTTTAATTTAGGGACTGAATATGTAATAATTCACTCCAATAAATTAATTAATATTTATAAAATAATCTTATTTTTTGTTAAAGTTTAAAATATTTAAGATTTTCACTCTTAAATCCGATTTAAATCCTTTCCAAATACGTGATTTCCATTCTAATTTTTTTAATAGATGCTTTCCAAATATTCTATCCTACGAATTTATTTATTTAAATATAAACCTATAAATTTTATAAAAATATTTAATACTTTTACGTAAAAAATGAAAATATGATTTTAAATATTTTATTCAATTAGAGAACAGATTTATATTCCTTAATTATCTCCATTTTCACATATCCTTTAAAAGAGAGTGAATTCCATTGTTTCATCACTCTGAAATTGATTTTACTCATTTAATTTTAGAGTTATTGAAGATATTTCCTGATATAGTTTTTATTATTTTTGATATTTTATAAAAAAAATTGTCTATAAAATCTTTAATAAAAGTTTTAATCAAAAATTCTTTAATGCATACAATGCTTTTTATCATCTGCTTTAAGTGAAATTCTTTCCTTTAAGTTTATAATTTATGATATAAATGAATTTAAGTTTTAAGAGAAAATTCTTTCTCAATTTATTTATTCTTATACAGTAAATTACGAAGCAATTGGAGGAAAAAAAATATCAGAAGATGGCAATTCTCTTGGTAGATGCGATAAAATTGTTTAAAGGTAACAAGCAAATTTTTCTTGTCGATTTTAATCAGAAAATTCTGTTTTTTCATCATCTGGAAGATGATGGAGAGCGGTTTAGATTAGATTTTGACATTATATTTGTTCGAGGATTAAAGTAGTTAAATTTATAGCGCTTTACTATTGCTATAACATTTTTTTCTTAATAGAAATTTGTTATTTTGAGGTTCCTGTAGCACTTATTTAAATATCTAAAATAATGTATTCCAAAGTGGTGAATATTTTATCCAAAATTGCATGTCGAATTCAAAATTATCCAAACTTTATCAGTCCAAAGGGGATAATTCAGTAACGACTATTTAAATGAAATTTTGGAATTAAATTTAATAATTTAACAGGAAATTATTGATATTCTGCATATTTTAATTTTTTTTCTTTCTTCGTCTATGGATAAAACAAATAACCAGGGAAATTTTATATCTGACTCAAAAATGTCAATAGATAAATTAATTACTCGTTAATTTATAGGAAAATTGGAAAGTTGTTCATGTAACTCCTATTCATTTAATTGAATGTCAATAAGAAATACTATCCAGGTTATTTAATATTATTATGAATATTTGATTTCTGATTAACTTAAATAAAAGTTTAGTAAATCATAAATGGATTTAGGAATTTAAATGTAATAAGATATTCAGTTTTAAATGAGAGAAGTTTAAATTTATCCTTCGAATTTAATGGAAGATATTGTTTAGAATTCTTACGTAAGATATATTCAAAGATATTGAATTTCTAAAGTTTATAATTTTATAATTAATTTAAAAATACCTTAAAATTTATAGAAAGGTATCAAGTTAGATAAATTTTTACTTAATTTAAAAATAATTGATAAAATATTAATCATACATAATTTAAATTCCACTAGAAATTATTTTTTGTTTAATATAAAGATATATTACATTAAAATTAATTATTCTCTTTTATGATTTATTCACAATTCCAACTATTCAAAGATTGCAAACGCCTGTAAATGTGTCTTTCCCGCATTACGGAGATGAACCGATGGTAAGCCAATTAATTAATATTTGTTGAAAGGTAGGTAATATTGAATGCAATCCTATATGTTACGGTCTTTTCACAAAGCTTCAAAAGTTACAAACGTTTTACCAGAATAATAAATATTCAAATT